CACATAAAGTACACGACATTGTACTGCATTGTGTTGCATAAATACCTTTGCTAAAATATCTGATGAGCTCCACAAATAATTTTATTATATATTAAGATCAAAATCATAATCATTATCATCATTTTCAGCTTATTCAGTTATTTCCAATTATGGTGTAGCATCCCTCACATATTTAGATACTCTCTTTGTAGCTGGGTTCATTGTTGTCTATTGTTGGCTATGCGGGCCCCAAGTTATCCCTGCTAATTTCCTAATATCATGGTCCCATCTTAGGTTAGGCCTTCTTCTGGGTCTCTTAATTCCTCGTGGTTACCATGATGTCATTTTTGTGGTCAATCTGTTGTCTGTTCTTCTTGCCAGGTGTCCTGCCTATTGCCATTTGAGGGATTTGACACTGGGGATGACATCTATTACCTTGGTCTTTTGTCGTATCCACTTTATTCTATTACGGCCTCTCTTGGTTATTCCCAGCATATTTCGTTCCATTGAGCGTTGTACAACCTGCAGTTTCCTTATAATGTCCGTTTTAAGTGCCTAGGTTTCGCATGCATAGGTCATGACTGGTAGTACATATTGTCGAATGTTTTCTTCTTTAGATAGAGTGGCATTCTAGAGTGGCATAAGTACTTAATACTAGAAGAATTAAGTCAATTCTTCTGTTAATTTCTGGTAGTAGTGATCCCGAGCTTTGTTTTAATTGTCCCAAATATATACAGGGTGGTCCGAACTGTATTCCGGAAACTTCGGCAGCATATTCTGAACATAAAATTAAGTAAAAAAGTTCGTATAAATGTATGTCCGGAAATGCTTAGTCTCGGAGATACAGGGTGAAAAAATTTCATTTTTATTTCGATTTTTTCTTAATAATTTCTGAAGTAAATTCGGTATTTGAATGAAAATTAGTATTTGGTTTTTTTTAACATAAGAAATTCGATTTCGATGTCAATGTGACTCCTACTTGTAGAGGGCGCCACCTACATGTTTTTAACTGTTTTGAAGAGTAATAACTTTTCGTCTGTGCCTGTATAAAACTAGTAAGTAAAAAAACATACATTTACGACGTTTTTTACGTAAAAAGGTCTCTTGGTAAAAATCTCTACAAATAGTGGTTCTCGAGATATTTGGAATCGAAATTATAAATACTTGTCATCATTGACATAAATTAAACATGTTGACTAAATAGTTATTAGACTGAAATAAAAAATAAAACTTAAAGGGAATTAACAAGCAGAATGAGTGGGAAGAGGCATCTGACAATAGAGCAGAATGGAGAAGAATTGTAAAGTCAGTTAATAGCGACAACCAAAAAGTAAAGAGGCAACAAAGCAATGAGATTTTTGAATGTCTGGAGTGCGGTCGTATCGAGCTTTTCAGTCACAGAAAAGCTCATGAAAGAAAACGCCTTGCGTGACCATCTTCTGATGCGTGTCAAATACTCGTCAGCGAGTAATGGCAGTTATGTATGTATGTATGTAGACTGAAATCATAAACTTGAAATGTTTTTGTGCCAGAAGTTCGACAGAAACTGTTTTATCATCATTTTTCGCAAAAAAATTTATGAATAATTTAAAAAAATAAAAAATTCCCAAATTTATTATTTCAGTCAAATAACTACCTACTGAATGTGTTCATTTTTTGTGAATAATGACGTGTATTGACTATTTCTATTCTAAATATATTGAGAACGGTTCTTCGTAGCAATTTTTATCAAGAGACATTTTTTACGTATAAAGTCACGGAAATATATATTTTTTACTCAGTACTTTTATACAGGTACGGTCGAAAAGTTATTACTCTTCAAAACAGTTAAAACACATGTAGGTGGCGGCCCCTACAATTAGTCAAAAAAATAATTGTAAAAATATTGTCAAAAAACTCCTAGACACCAATTTTCATCCAAATATTGACGTTACTTCAGAAATTATTTGGAATAAACCGAAATTAAAATGAAATTTCTACACCCTGTATTTCCGAAACCCGAAACTATGCATTTTAGGACATTTATACGAACTTTTTCACTTATTTATACCTGTAGAATATGCTACCGAAGTTTCCGGAATACAATTCGGACCACCCTGTATATTCTTCTACTACATATTTCCAGTGCTGTGTTATTTATTAGAATGACTTCTCTTTTCTCTAGTGCGTATGACTTTAGTTTTTATTAATAAAAATAATTAATAATTAAATTCATTTTGAGACACACTTTGTTGCTGGCTGTATTTAGTTCCCCCCATTAGTATGTGCTTGTAGTTCTTCACCACTATTGATGATCAAAATAATACAAGTTAAATACAGTCTTAAATTCACAGTCTTGTTTAACGTATCTGTATGTTTATGCATTTTAATAAAAAAAACTAGTTTCGGGGTTTAATTACTGAACGTTCTGATGCTTGATCATTGCCTCAATGAAATCTATGAATTTTTTTTGATTCAGGGTGCATCCACATCATTCACAATGTCAATGTGTCACTTTAAAATATATTTTTGTTAAGGTTATAAGTATTTGACGATTTGATTTTTTTATCTTTATTTGATATTGCATTAACCATTTATCAAAATTAAAAAAAAAATAATAATTTGCTAGAATAATAACTCATATAAAAAGAAGTCTACGGATAGGATTATATTTTATTAAAACATACAATATAATTGATTTTTGCTTAATTTACTATAATATTATATTGCTCATAGCTATAGATTCTTCGGTTGCAGCAGAGATATTTACTCTCAGTTAAAATCCAATCATAGATACCTATAATTCTCCAGAAATTATATACAGGGTGGCGCACCTCATTCGCCTCGGTTGATTATACGAAAACGGAAAAATGTAGAAACAAAATATTTTATGGGTATATGTGCATAATTTAAAAAAGGCAATGTGCATAATTTAAAATTATTTTGAAATGTACAGGATATGTCAGAACTAAGATCCATAAAATAAGTTATATTTTTTCTTACGGAACACCCGGTATTTTATTTCATTTTCGGATTCTTGTGCCCTAAAAAGGGCATTTATTATAAGGGTTAAATATGTTTAAAACCTTTGGTTTTTGAGATATTTAAAGATATTTAAATATGCATGCTACAATAGAATAAATTATTAACACCCTGTACTTTAGTTTTCAGAATTAATTCTTGTACTTAGTTTAAAGGTAGAGAAATAAACTTTACTGAAAAATGTTAACGCTTCCTTAAACTTATACAGGGGTACCAAATATTGCTGATCTATTTAAGGATTTATTTTATATCAAAACTTCGTTATTTCAAATAAAACACCCTGTATTTTTTAAGACAAGTCGAAGCAGATTCAAATGCTCTTTCAAACTATATTAGAGTTTTCTATACCTATCTACCTCAGATTTTGAATATAAAGCGATTTTTTAATAAAATGGCAATCAAGACGGCTCGGCTGGTGTCGCCATGGCAATTTTCTAATGACAATTACTAACTATTTCTAAAATCGACATTATGTTTATGGACATTATTATTTAGATTTATAACAATTTACTTAAATTTACCTAAAATAGTTTAATAAGTAAATATTCATTATTTTCTCAAGAAAAATACAGCAGTATCTGCTGGCTGAACGAATGGATATGTAACTAGAGATTTTATTTTGTGAAGAAAATTGCTTCTTGGCTTCAAGGGCTTATGATATCCATATAGGAATCTTCCTGATAAGCGTTCCTTTGAAGAACTACTTCTCCTATTTCGTAGTTGGAAGTCTTTCGTTGGAAGTGAAGAAAATGAATTTGCCCTAATTGGCTCTTTTAGAGAAAATCCATATCCACAAGTCATCGTAAAATAAATCAAAGAACTACTTCGTTATTCTTGATAGAATAATAAATACATATTTAATAAATATTATTTATTAAACTATTTTAGGCAAATTAAATATAAGAAAACTGGTATAAATTTAAATAAAGTCTATAAACTAATTTCAAAATTGCTCTTTATTCAAAATCTGAGCTAGATAGGTATAAGCGACCCTAATAGAGTTTGAAAGAGCATTTGAATCTGCTTTGATTTATTTAAAAAAATACAGGATGTTGTATTTGATATAACAAAGTTTATAAATTACCTTTGGCTTAAAAGTCAGCACAAGAATTAATTCTGAAAAGCAATGTACAGGGTATTGACAATTTTGTTTTATTATAGCATGCATATTTAAATATCTTTAAATATCTTTGAACATATTTAAATATCTCAAAAACCAAAGCTTTTAAACATATTTAAACCTTATAATAAATGCTTTATTTTGTATCCATGGTTTCAAAAATGAAATAACATACCGGGTGTTCCAGAAGAAAAAATATAACTTTGGTGTGGATCTTAGTTCTGACATACCCTGTACATTTCAAAATAATTTTAAATTATGCACATTGCCATTCCACATATACCCATAAAATATTTTGTTTCTACATCTTTCTGTTTTCATATAATCAACCGAGGCGAATGAGGTGTGTGCCACCCTGTTATAGTTCGCACTTTTAGAATCCCCTTAAAAGTAGTCGTATAAAATTTAAACGTTTACCTACTAAGTGGTATTTTCAAACAATTCTGCTAATTTCATAAAAAAATATTGTAATATACCATTTTTATTGGAATAAAAATTAACAACAAAAGTTATAACGGGGATTGATTTAAAATTTACTTCTACAGATATGCAGTCCACACTTACTAAATCTGTTTAAATGCAGTAATGCAGAAATTCAAGGATGTGCATTTTTGAATGAGCTTATTCTTATAATAATTAATATTTAACTTGCCATAGAGATAATTAACCACGAAAGCCAACCTGTGTTGTCCAAACAATAAACCATTTTTTGAAAGCTTCCTTAAAAACGTCTACGGACCTAGCTAATGTTACATCTATAACTTTCTAAAGATATGCGGTCCACACTTTCGAAATCTATTTAAATGCAGTACTGCAGAAATCCAAGAAAATGCATTTTTAAACAAGCCTCTACACCTTAAAACAATTGAGATTGACTTACCATAGAGATACTTAACTACGAAAGCCACCCTGTTGTCCCAACAATAAGCCATTTTTTTTCCTGGAAAACAAAATCAAAACAGAACTTGTTACGGGGCGTATCTTCGGAACTTTTTTGGAAAACCGGGTCCGCTCACGTGGTCGATATATTAAAATAAAGCCGGCGCGTCGCGGCGGCCAGAGACCGGTGGCCGGCGTCTATTTTAAACCGTACTAGTTGTAGTCTGACGTCGGCGTCCCTATCATACGCAACGGGACGTCGTCGTCGTACTAATGACGAATAAAGCGGGGAAGTGGCCAACTAGCTGCATCTTCAACAAATCTTGATTTAACCCGACGCTTTCTCGCAGAAAGTTGGCTTTATCAGACCTCTGGTTCTAAATGTTAACTTATTGATTTACTGGACAACCACCACTAACTGGACCAGAACCGTTCTGCTTCCTAAGTGGAAACCAACTTAAAGCAGAACTCAAGAACCTAGAAGATTCCATCTGTAACCTGGAATGGGAAATCTTCAACGGTCTAAGACATTCGAAGACATTTCTCTGGATTTACGACTGAGAAAAATATTCTCCTTGATTTAAGTAAGAACAATCTTCAGATAGTCGCAGGGTTAGGTTAGGTTGATGGGGTTTGGCATACTGTTTGATCCCTCATGAGATGAGAGGAAGATACCAAACCTTCCTCTCATTTTTTCTTTGCGTTAAAGCACTTGCAAAGTTTCCGATGTTGCTGATGTTGAGTTCTGCTGCCTCCTGCAAAAAAACTTCCCTCAAAGTTTTATGGTGTCGGTATTCCAGTGCCGCACAGTGGCACAGCTGGTGCTCTATGGTTTCTTCTTCCTCTCCGCATTCTCTGTAGTAGTCGTTGTTAGAAATCTTGCATCTCACGATTTTTATCCCCGTGGGGCAGTTTCCAGTGACGACACTTACAATTATGCGTACTAGGTACTTTTTGTGCTCTAGTAGTTGTTTTATCTTTTTGCTATCTACCACTGGTCATAGTCTTCGAGCTGTCGCGATGTTTTAACACTGTCTCATCAATGAACATATCAGTAGATTGAAGCTAAGAAACAACGACGGATGCAAATTCTGTCGTACGTAGCCTATCCCATAACAGTGCAGATGAGATTATGAGATGCGCTTTTAAGAAAGATTAATAATATATCTAGGAAGAATACCAAGCTCTAAAATGATCGAATGAGAATATTCTGCCGACAAGGGAAATGAAGTTTTTAAAAATTTAAATTTTTAAAATTTTTAAAAACAAGTTGGTTACAATAAAATACATAACTCGTGTCGGTTACTAAAGTTTTTCTAATTTCTACAAGTCGTTCATAAATCGTTAAACGTTGGAAACTGTGCTTCCTCGTTTGGCGATAAACATGAAAGGCATACCGTATTACCGAGGCTATTACCCATTGTTGCTAAGATTTAGTTGCTGTGTGTGGACTTTAGCCTAGTTGGAAACAGACAATGTCGATCTCGTACATCAACGAATTGTGTTAACTAAATAGTCTTGGTCAAGACACTAAGATTAAATAGTGGATTCTAGTTCACAACTAGTTGTCAACTAGAATGTTTCCAATCTTTATTAAAGATGTCTTTGGATACGTCAGCATAGATTTCTGAGCTCTGCATTTTTGATGAAAATTTTGTATGTTGGAAAAATTTCTTTCTAAATTTTTAATTTTATAACTCTGTTGGGCCCTTCTACTCATAGAATGTATATGTTACGGTTAAAGTACGATCTCCGGTTAATGTCGACATTAACAGGTTAATGTTTGGGTTTGGTTATGTTTTGGGTTGTTTTGTTTTGTGTTATTCTCGACATTAACCTGTTAACGTCGACATTAACCGGACATCGGACTTTAACCGCAACATATATATGTCATAGGCGTATTTTAAAACCAGGCTTATTATAATAACCTAGGCTTTTTCAAAATGACTAGGCATGTTGTAAAACTATAAAAATTTCACAATAAGACTAATGCCCAGAAAATCAATGAATATCTAAAAAAACAAATATAAATTAGTAAAAACCAACAAACCCCACCAAATATCCAACTAACCAATGAATTAACACCCTTCAAATAACCACGCTAACCAACCCGCCAATAAATAATATGCCCAGCCTAGGCGTATTATAATAAGCCTGGTTTTACAATACGCCTACGATATATACATCATACAAAAAACAATAAGATTGGACAAGGCTTTGTAGATAAGAAAGATGAAAGTACTTGCCTCTCTCAGTTTCTTGTATTGAAGGCAAAGTACTCATCCGTCCAATATAAGATAAAGAGAATGGAAGGTTGATAAAATTGTGTAGCATATTCCAGCTGCGATCTCTTCACCTGCAAAATAAGGCCGATGATCAATAAATACTTTTCTAAAGATAAACGGTTTGGACTACACCACATGCACATAGCCAGAGTCACATTGCCACCCTCTTTTCCAAATTAGGTTGGTTGGTAGCTTAGACGATGCAAGTAGTCCAATGAGGCCTAAGTGAGCTATAGTCTTTTTGGATTACCTTCCTGCCTCTACCGATCAGATAACAGATTGGTGAAAGTAATAGGTTAGCACCAATATCATCAATGTTTTAGAGACATACTTTGGAATACTCTTCAGTTTGTAATATTATATTGAAAACAGTGCATGCAGTGCCAACTCATTTTTATCTATAGTAGTCGAACTGTGACGTCGGCGTTACTATTAACTGCACTAGGACGTCGTACCAATGACGACAAAAACATGGACGCAGCCAACTATAATCATATCGTCGGCTTTATAACGAAAAGGCGATCTCGATTTTTGCTACTTTTCAGCAGATCAATTTAAAGAAAATTACTTGCTTTATTTGGCGATTAAATGTAAAGTCCTCTTTGTTAAGGCCTTTTTTGCTTTTTTGATTGCTGTCTCTCAATAGCTCGGTCGGCTAATCTTATAATGACTGATCTTTTTTGTGATGTTAGATGACATGATTTAAAGTTCATGTATCTCGCGGACCATGTTTTTTTTGTATATCACTGTGTTCTTACGCTATTATTTATGTGATGTAGGGCTTAAGAGAGAAAGAAAAATAAAACGGCCTTAACAAACCACGAGACACTAAAAAAAATCATCAATTTAATTACAGTGAAATAAAAATTTAAAAAATGGAAAAAATACAAAAACAGAGAATTTCTAGAAATGATTTTTGAAAATAAAACCACTTAAAACAAAACGATTTATTTTCAGAATAACTAATATAATCAACAATAAAAAAAATAAACATAAAAGCATAAAGAACATAAAAACTCAACTTATATTAAATTAAATTTTGTGGTGACCCATTTTCGCGTGTTTTACAGGGTTTCTGGTTTATGAGCAGAAGTACAAAGACGCGGTTTTCATATTACTATGCTACTTTTTCATGAAACTAAAAATGATACACACATATTTGTCCTAGCCCTCTTAGTTCCTGAAATACAGGGCAAAATTGAAATTGTTGCGTTTTTCGACTCGAAGGGACCAAGAGGGTCAAAAAATGCAACATTTTAAAATTCGCCTTGTATTTCAGGAACTAAGAAGACTAGGTGTGTACTATATACTAGGTATGTGAAAAAGAAAAGCTGCTGTTATAAATTTATCATAAAATAAATAAAAATATATAAAAATCTGATGTAAGCCTTTTATAAAACTTTAAGACTTTGTTTAAGTTCTTAAGTTCTTTTATAAAAATATTGAAATCTTTTTAATGTATAAGTGTTTTCTAAAAAGACTTCAATCTTTTTCTATTTCGTAATAAAGATTTAAATTACAAATCATTTTGAAAAAGCCTTAAATATTAAGTCCTAAGTCAGCTTTCGAAAAATGACTTAATATCAAATGGCTTAAGTAATTAAAATTATTTAAATCAAAAAAAAGACGAAAGAAAGTTTTCTGTGAGCTTGCAGCTCTGGATATAGATCGCATAGATAGCGTTCTTAAGAGACATAATTTAAACCCATTTTAAGCTTGTTTCTTAAATATTTCAGTTCCGACATTGGACATCCTTAGATACCTGCTTTCTTCTGAAGGTAATTGATTAACCAACTCTATGCTCTTCTGGAACAAAAAATAATGATTTGAATGCCATGAAAACCTTCGTTTTACAAAATACTTTACTTTTATCTTACCAGTTACAGAAAAAGATTTATTTTTGTATGATAGACAGACAAATATTTCAATTGACGCTAATACTATGCATATAACGATATACAAATTATGTGACATCAGAATAATTATTGGTTAATGATAATGTTTTTTACAGACAATAAATTTATACTGCATGATTTATAAATTATTCTCAAAAATGTAATGAATTAAGTAAGTACGTTGACTAAATGAATTCATAAGTAGTCTAGATAGGTTCAAGTAGTTACTCGTTATATATTTCACATCGTTTTTTTTTTGTTTTTGAGATATCAAAACAAATACGCCATAAGTAGATCTTCAAGTACTTATTAGTTTGATGTTTCTGGTTTTTAAGTATGAGTGCAGACTAGTTTGATAAAATTATAATATTCGTTTTTACTTGTTTTATAGTATCAAATTAGATTTAAAATTATTTCGCAAGCTGTGAAATTAAAGATGTATTTTACTATTTAAATATCATTGTTTGAGTGTTATAATCCTACATTTAATATAATTATAAGTATATGTAATATCTTAAAAATCATATATAAAATATTAATTCTTGTAATTTTTAATCAGTATTCTTGTAGGTTTTAATACACATATTAACTTAAACTATTTGTTTTATATATCATTTTTGAATTTTTATGGTCATAAGTTTACTTTAGTGATATAATAATTTAAACAAATACATATTATTTATATCGTTATCTTATAAATCAACTATCAATCACCACTCGAAATCTTTAAAAGCCTACATTTGAAATTTCTCGGAAAAGATTACAAGGAAAAAATTTAATAAATGTATATCATTCATTTACGCAAAATATTTTTTTAAGTATATTTTAAAACAATATATATTTTTATAACTAATACATCTTATACATTTTTTTAAATTACTGTAATAATCTTATACCGTGTGGTCATCGGAACACGGGACATAGGAAGTCCTATGTAAATTTGGAAAAGGTCCAAATATTATTCCAAAAATTATCCCCAGATAATTTTATGCAAACGTTGCATAGACTTTTTTGAAGAGGCATTAAATTGTACCTTTGTCTAG